GCCGAATATCTTCAGGATGATCTCGTCCGACTGCCGACAGAACGGGTCTGCCGCACCGAGGTCATTGGGTCAAGGTGATGCGGGTCTCTCTGGCACACTGACCTTATTGTGTCACGGTGCATTTATAGGTAACACAGGCCGTGGCCACATTGGGCTGGGAAGGGTGGCAACGAGCTTCACCTGGAACCATTGAAACTACATAAGTGGCAACAGGAGGTGTCTCGGAGACCGGGCCAGACAAATAATGAGATTACTAATAAAGTAAACAAAAACACTCCATATCCTAAGTAGCGGTACTAAATGCGAGTCGGAGAATATTGTAAGCCTGCGAGCATGGTCCTAAACTGATACACTGCGCCCACAACAAAAAACATTTAATAACGTATGTACAAGTTCAGTTCAAATGGACCACGGAGCAGCCAGGTTACAGGGAGCCAAGGCACATGGCCACATATTATGAACGAATCAATGCTAAGAATATAATAAAACTATTGATGGTGTGCCACGAAAAACGATTAAGTTTGATCATGGCTGGGTGCTATGACTGACACAACTTCATATATAGCCCTAGTTCATACCGTGAAGACGGAACGATCCGGTGCGCCGCCGTTTGTAGACGAGGAACCCCTCTGGGACATAGCCATCATCCATCACCGAGTAGGGGTCGACAGCTGGACCCGGGGCGGTGGCCGGCTTCTGTCGGTACACGCAACAGAAACAGCAACTCTCAGAACAGGAGCCACTCGCTATAGGACAACAGCAACAGCAGGTGCGAAGGTTTTCAGCCAGTTATTATGGCGGTGTGATTACGGCGCGATAGTTGCGGTGCGGTGCGAGCGACTTTAGCGAGTGTCGTTTGAGCGAACCATTTTCAGCGAATGGCGATTCGATAATTACCGGGGTGAGTTGGCGCCGTTCCGGCTGTCCGGCGGAGTCGACCGGCCTGTAGCTGCAAGTGTAAGTTTGTACCTATCTGTTTCCTTACCAGGGCTGGCGTGGCGCCGTTCTGGCTGTCCGGCGGAGTCGATCGACCTGTAGCTGCATGTGTAAGTTTGTACCTATCTGTTTTCTTACCAGGGCTGGTGTGGCGCCGTTCTGGCTGTCCGGCGGAGTCGGTAGCTGTATCTGTAAGCCTGTATCTGTTCTGTTGGCTTACCAGGGCTGGCGTGGCGCCGTTCTGGCTGTCCGGCGGCGTCGGTAAGCCGCTGCTGTCGTCCATCAGAGACAGGCCGACGTCGTCCAGAATGTCCTCCGTCAGCGACTCTGTGTCGACGCGCCACCGGCCGCACGAGTGGCTGCTGGCCGAGCGACGCTTTCGGCTGACCGAGCCGTCCGCGCAGCTGGGCGGCGGACCGGGCCGGCGGGAGGCGGTCAGACACACAGTCGGCAACACCCCCAGACAGACGGGCGGTCAGACGCACAACCAGCTACACACGGGCGGTCAGACCAACAGCCAGACACACAGACAGGCGGTCAGACACACAGACAGGCGGTCAGACGCACAAGCAGGCGGTCAGACACACAGACAGGCGGTCAGACGCACAAGCAGGCGGTCAGACACACAGACAGGCGGTCAGACCCACAGCCAGATACAGCAGACAGCCGGTCCGAACCACAGAAACAACCAGACCCAGACACACATACACACAAGATGGTCAGACGGTCTGCAGTGTAAAACTTAATTCCATCGTTGATTTCGAGCTCTAAGATCAGTTAAACGGAGATAAAAATCGCCGACTGCCGGTACCTTTATTTCTTCAAGCCCTCTGCATGTTACACAGACTATGCCAAAAAAACCCATGTTTTCGCATCAGCAGTTATTTTCGCGTGGCTGGCGAAATCATAGGGTGCTTTCATGCAAAAAAAAAAATATCACAGCCGGCGATTTTCCGATTGAAAAGGTTGATTGCAAACTATCTGGAGCACTCTTTCTGAATGCCAGTGTTATTAGACACCTAGCCTACTCATATAAAAGCTTCCTGATATTCTTTTTTAAAAGGATACATATGAGCATGGATAAAATAAAAATAAAAAGCATATTGACATACCTGCCCGCATCTGATGTGTTCATATTGTTCAAGGAGTTTGTGAGCAAGTGAGCAATCTCAGGTTGTCCTGAAACGAAGAAGTGATGGGTAAACTGTTGAAGATGTCTTAATATCAATCTTCCATGACAGCTTCAAGCTCTGAGTGAGACAACATCTGATGGACCTATTTATGGAACAATTTACCCTGCATCATTTGCCATACCTAACATAGACAGGTGCATCAAAGGAATTAATTAATAGTTACCAGTCAATGCCAAACAATAGCGTGACAGTTTCTGGTCAAATGTCAAATGCAGTTATTCACATCAAAATGTTTATTATGCAGGCTCTAAAAAATAGTAAAACTAACAGGCAACAGTTACAGGTAAATGTTAGTATTGGTTTACATAAAATTCAATTATAGTTATGGCCAGAACTTTCACTGGAGGTACAATTTCTCATTGTTGTTATGAGAAACCATTCTTCAACACACTGGGGACACAATGGGAAACTGAGATGAGATAAATCATACAACTTCCATACCTAATCTGTATGCTGATCTGTGAAGCTCTGTAAGCCCTGTCATGTTCAACAGTGTAAAATTGGGATTGGTCATCACAACACATACTAGCAAATGGTTACCTACCCTTTTCCCTCATGGTGAAAAACTGAATGATTTCCCACATATTCACACATGATACCAAGCTGCTCCCTAGCATGTTTTGGAATTGAAAAGCATAAAAACAATATTGAAGGGTCATGATACTACTTCCCTTGGCCAAGTGGGAATAAAATATGTTATGGTTTTCCTAAACCAAATACCTACCAAGCCTAAACCTATGGGTAATTTAGTTAATAAAAATGACACCAGCAATCATTCTTGTTGATCACACATGATCAAACTCATAAGGAGTGCAAAAAAATGCAACTTTTCATTTAACCTTTATGAAGCTGAAAACTTTAGACCATGCTTAAATAACTTTTTGATTGATATGCACCTATATACACATCTAATAACTTACATGTGCCTAATCAATGTTTGAATTTATGGTCTTGTTTTGAAACTTAAACAAAATTTTGTTTGACTTTTCTCTAGCCATGTTGGTAGTCCATTTTTCACTATGCGAGGGATGTTTAATGATCCTAAGCTACTAAGCCAAGTTGATTTAAACATGATAACCAACCCTTGGGCCATGCACTGACCAATTCAAATTAGTCAGTCAGTCGGTCAGCCCAGTTCGCAGTCACTATAATACCTGTAACATGTTCTGGTTTGGTGACATTATCGTGTGAATAGTGCACATGTTCTGAGGAAGCCTCAAGTTATAATGGTTTTGGGCTTCTTTCATAAGATTCTGGAACACTTCAATGAAAAATATTATTTATGTCAAATATTATTTCATAAATGCTCTTTCAAATTTTAACTCCTGCAAGTGTTTACACTTTACACCGTAACATCAGCACGCCTGCATGTAATTTCTCATGACGCCACCTATACCTATTTCCTTGGGGTCAGCCTTAATCTTCTTGGCAAATCCAAAGTGGTACCAGAGAGGAAGGCGACTTCGGAATTTAGATAAAGATCACCAATCCTGGAACGGGTATATAATGTTATACTCATTGGAAACTTTTTTTTTAAAAAAATGAAGGCACTATAACATGTGTTGTCACAAGTCTGTCCAATTGCTGTCTTCTGTCCAAATAGACAATAGTAGGCATGAAATATACACAAATCACACTATCATTGAGAAATATCAACTAGAATAAGGCAGAATAAGGTAACTAGAAATAAGTGGTTCTCAGGCAAAAATGCAAAGCACCATCGATGACTGATGGCAGACGCCAGACTATGATGAGGATGCGCCCCGACCTCTACCTCTCCATGTCAATTTTCATTATTATCATGCTACTGAGGTTAGTGCCATGTTATCATAACTGCAAATGAAAACCACATTAATTTCAACACATAAACTTTCTGTCATTATATTTTATAGGTAATTCAAAATGGTAAAATCCTTTCAACCAACTGACCTTTCGACCGCGACGTCTCTCCCGCGCGCGCAAACAGCTCGCATTTGCAATGCGCGCCAAAGATCAGCTGTTTTCAAGGTCTCAATATATTCAGACTCACACTCGGATAGATTTCCCTCAAACTGTAAATGACGTCATCAAAGTAACAGGGTTCTGTCTGACTTTGTGAACGGGTGGACTCTAGTGCTCAAAACTTTAATGTTCAAAATGTTTTTTGGTTGATTAAATAATGAGGGGGATACGACCTGGCCCTCGCTGTTTCACCGCTTATTGAGCTAGAGCCTCGCAAAAACGAGCATGTGCGCTGTTACGAGACACAGCGGTCGATCTACCCGATTTTAACCCTCGCCGGCACAGGCCAATTTGCGTCCTTCGACGGCACAAGGGGGGGAGCGGGGGTGGTACGACCCCTCCCTCGTGTTTTGGCCCCGGATCGAGCTAGAGCTTCGCGAAAAAAAGCGAGCGTGTTGCCCGTCATGAGAGGAAGCCGATGATACCCAATTTTAAAGGAAAAGGGCCACCTTTAACATGGGGATTGAAACTGAGATAGCCATCTTGTAGCCCGTGTCCGAAAACCTCCCTGCTTACCTCCTTACGGCCGATTTCGGCCTCCATTCGTAGTTATCGGCAATTTTTAAAGAAAATATGCCAGGAATGCGTTCTTATCCCAGGAATGCGTTCTTATCCGACAATACAGCCACCCGCGGCGAGGCTTTGGTTTTTAACCAATCAGCTTGCAGCAGTACTGATCAGGCACGGATCCCTGTACTAGCGAGTAGACCATGAGCAGTTGCATTATTTTTCGTTGTCTGTTCTGGCAATCGGCCGGCGGATGAACATCCGCAATCGAATCTTGAAATCCATCGCGCTGATTGGCGATGAGTTTCATGATCTACTTTCATGAGGTCTATGAAAGTAAACCTATGCTATGCCCTGAACAGATGACATCTCGTTTGTTAGCCATTTTACCTATCTCAATCTTGTACGAGGCCGTATATACCATCTTTTATATTGATATCCTGCATCTCCGATCCGATATCGGGACCTTATTTTTTGTTCGAACAAATACCTTGAATCTATATTTGTATACACTGTGCCTACAACAACGATGAAGAAGTGTGTGCTCTGCGGAGCAAACGACCTTCGTCGGGTCGGAACTGGTGCGCATGTGACTGTGCACAAGTAAGTACCTAAATTCTTATTTATTGCAATGGCTCCTTTATCATCATCTTTATCATCTTAAACTCTATTCAACTGTTCAGGCTTTCACAACTGAAAGGCCAGACTGGAAAAATACAAATTATGCCAAATGTATCCGGCATAGTGGCGGGATTGCGCTGAAAATTTCAGTATATGTCCGGCATTGCATGTGCCAAATTCAGCGCATGGTGGCAGCTGAATTTTTCAGTGCATGGTGGGTGACGGCAGAATTTTTATGCAACTGGCTGTCACCAATTTTTTGGGGTAGTGGTAAAGGAGTCGTCACACTCCCTTTTTGCAATCAAGGAGAGGCGCTATACCCAGGCCCTGTTTCACCGGTGATAGCAGCACGCTGCTATACCATTGGTGACCTGAGATGACCTCTGGGCCATAAAAAGGGGTCACAGGTGACGGGTGCCATTTTCATGTTCTGTGATAGCAGCAGCAGACGTGATAGCAGAACGCTGCTATCACGGTTTGCGAGCTGACGTAATGTGATGACATCATACTCTTGATGTAAGGGGCATTTCTGGCGCATGATTGCCGCAATATTGTTTGACGTCATCAACTAAATATTCAAAGTTTTGGTCTAAACTTTCCTTAAACTCACCTTTTTTGAAACATATATCCAACAAATATATTTTTTAATATATTTGCTATAGGTATTGACTGTGTCAACTCTTACTTTTAGAATGATAACGTCACTCAATATCGCGGCAACTTTTAGAATGATAACGTCACTCAATATCGTGGCAATCGTGCGCCAGAACTGCCCATTATGTCCTGAGTATGGCGTCATCACATTACATCAGCTCGCGAAACATGATAGTAGCCTGCTGCTATCGCTGGTGAAACAGGGTCCCAGAGATGCTTTCCAATAGAATTATACCAAACCAGACCTAATCAAACCTAACCAAACCTGACCTAAACTTACCTACAACCTAAAATCTACAAGATACAACCTAAAACTTATCACCTAAAACCTACAACCTACAACCTAACCTACGGCGCCTTTCCTTGGTTGCAAAAAGAAGTGTGACGCCTGCTTTACTACTACCATTTTTTGACACGCTGGTCAATCTAGCAGCAGACTTGCCCTGCGGGCACTGGCGGGTCTGGACTTGAAGAGAGTCAGAACTTCTGGTCTGGGCCTTGTTTCATCACACGATGCTACAGTGTGTCACACATGTTATGTTATTTAGTTTTCATGGGAACATCAACTAATTCAGACGCTCAGACAGAGGAGATCGTCCGAGGCCACGGAACATTCTGTCTGGTTGATATAGCCTTGGTCGGTAGATGTGCACATGTACTTTATGTAAAAGTGGCTTAATTTTGGTGCAAACAGGCACCCAACTTTCAGTGCAAATCATGCACTGGAATTTCAGTTCAAAATTGCTTGCTTCAAATTTTGGTGCATGAGGGTCTCATGGGCGTCCGCCATAGTGTATGGATGTTTTCCAGTCTGGCTGAAAGGTAGGACTTGGACACATTTATTCAGCCCCTCAAAGCCCATTTACTGGTTGTGGTTACACCTACCTTTTCATGGGGGTTTTGTTCATCTCTTGCCTACACAGTTTTCTTTCACTTATTATGCACTGACAAGAAAAGGAAACTCACCAGTGGAGCTACTCAGCTTGATGCACAGAGTATGTGTTGCATGGACTAAGCACGTGTTGACCCTTTTTTACTTTCAGGTTCCCGCAAAAAAAGCAGCACCGGGAAAAGTGGATGAGGGTCTGTGGCATGAGCAGGGAGCCAAGACCAAATGATGGGGTGTGTGAAAACCACTTCACAAGAGCTGCATACCATGCTGAGCACGATCAACAACATCTGCGACTGCGTCTGAAGAATACTGCTGTGCCGGATCAGAATGTAGGTTAATTTTTGGAAGTGATGATAATGCCTGCTATATTGACTCAAAAAATTATCAAAAGACATTAAATATTATTGTTTTTTTACAGTTATTCCTTGTACCCAGCCCTTACAGCCATCCAGCTTTAGTACTGAGTCCTTATTTGTGATATTTTTGCAAAAAAATTACTCCTTATACCGTGCCCTTACAGTTTTACAGCCTTAGCACCTTTCCCTTATTTTGATATTTTTTAGCCATTTCGACCTAACCGAATATCTATGTTCGTATGTTATTGTTTTGACCTGCATTTTATGTTACATCCCTATAGGTAAGTGTTATTAAAACATGTGATAATGGCGTGCTGACTTTTTACAGATTCCGTCTACGCCTTGCGTTGCTGTCGCTGCTCGGCCACCCACAGATGAAACTGATCAAGAAATGGACATCACTCAGGTAAGATCCAAAGCATCTTTTATTTTACGCATAATACACTAACTTAACTTGGTATGCACTCGGGGGCGGTCAGACACTAGCCAGCCATGGTTCTTTAGCCCTCTTGGCCTCTTGGGCTGATGGCTTGCTCCTGCTCGATCCTGTGAGAAATAGTTTTGGTGAGTATTTTCTATCCGACCAGTGGCTTCTATCCGAACAGTGGAAGCTGGACAGCCACGGCTGACTGTTGTTCTGTTGGCGGGCCAGCGCCGCCTCCCACCGGCCACCATACGATGACGGCCGCCGGAGACCGAGCACCGGTACCACCGGACAAAAAGTGGAATCGGCAAGGCCGGGCTAGCGACTGTCTGCAGATCGGCAGAGAAGAGCTGAGCTGCACCTACGCTGCAGGGCAACTACCGACTGCAGTGGCTTTACCTGTTTTTGTGTGACCAGCGAGGAATAAAACGGGCGCGAGACGGAGCAGCGAGACACTCCTCACACAGTCCACACCACGTTCGACAACACCCACTCTGCAACACTCCACTCAACATGCACAAGTAAGTACCTACGTAAGAATGACTCAGACCGGACGGTCTGCCCCAGCCAGCTCTCTTGGAGCTGTGCTGTGGGGACAAGGTGACGTGACGTCTTCTAGGAAGTCCGTTTAACTTGCCGAACTATTCGGTATATGGTTGAACTGTTTGTTTTGTCTTTCGGCTAACCATTCGGTTATCTCTTTCGGCCTTTTTTTTGGTGACCGTTGACCGCCGTTGTCCGGTCTCACTGCGCTGTTTGTGTTTCAGCCTGCCCGCCATCATGACGCTGACCAGGGAGCCGATTGGCTCGGCTTGGCGGCAGCAGGCTGTTCTTTCGGCACTCTTCCGGCCTCTCCAATATCGGCACACTCGAGTGCGATAGCAACTCGAGTGGGACTGATTTTCGGTCTTCTTTCGACACTCTTCCGTCTTCTTCGATATCAGCCTGTGCTAATGCAACGGCTATTCGTGCAGGACTGATTTTCGGCCTTGTCTCGTTTAATGACTCGATCGCTTCCTTTTGACATTTTGGTTTCGACCTCATCTTTTGGCTCATTTCAATATATCTACTTTTAACTCATGTTCACGTCTGTATGGTGGATGGTGTTGGGAACGAAGGAGGGAAAGGAACCAGAAACACACACATATCGATCGCGTTTTCATCAGTAATACCCCTAGACAGCACATAGAGTAAAAGATTGAAGAATATAATCCCCTAGACAACAGATAAATAATCAGGATGCAATGTAGGCTATACAAAGGGACCAACTTAAATCACATCGAGCCCCCAATGTGATTTAAGTTGGTCCCTTTGTATAGCCTACATTGCATCCTGATTATTTATCTGTTGTCTAGGGGATTATATTCTTCAATCTTTTACTCTATGTGCTGTCTAGGGGTATTACTGATGAAAACGCGATCGATATGTGTGTGTTTCTGGTTCCTTTCCCTCCTTCGTTCCCAACACCATCCACCATACAGACGTGAACATGAGTTAAAAGTAGATATATTGAAATGAGCCAAAAGATGAGGTCGAAACCAAAATGTCAAAAGGAAGCGATCGAGTCATTAAACGAGACAAGGCCGAAAATCAGTCCTGCACGAATAGCCGTTGCATTAGCACAGGCTGATATCGAAGAAGACGGAAGAGTGTCGAAAGAAGACCGAAAATCAGTCCCACTCGAGTTGCTATCGCACTCGAGTGTGCCGATATTGGAGAGGCCGGAAGAGTGCCGAAAGAACAGCCTGCTGCCGCCAAGCCGAGCCAATCGGCTCCCTGGTCAGCGTCATGATGGCGGGCAGGCTGAAACACAAACAGCGCAGTGAGACCGGACAACGGCGGTCAACGGTCACCAAAAAAAAGGCCGAAAGAGATAACCGAATGGTTAGCCGAAAGACAAAACAAACAGTTCAACCATATACCGAATAGTTCGGCAAGTTAAACGGACTTCCTAGAAGACGTCACGTCACCTTGTCCCCACAGCACAGCTCCAAGAGAGCTGGCTGGGGCAGACCGTCCGGTCTGAGTCATTCTTACGTAGGTACTTACTTGTGCATGTTGAGTGGAGTGTTGCAGAGTGGGTGTTGTCGAACGTGGTGTGGACTGTGTGAGGAGTGTCTCGCTGCTCCGTCTCGCGCCCGTTTTATTCCTCGCTGGTCACACAAAAACAGGTAAAGCCACTGCAGTCGGTAGTTGCCCTGCAGCGTAGGTGCAGCTCAGCTCTTCTCTGCCGATCTGCAGACAGTCGCTAGCCCGGCCTTGCCGATTCCACTTTTTGTCCGGTGGTACCGGTGCTCGGTCTCCGGCGGCCGTCATCGTATGGTGGCCGGTGGGAGGCGGCGCTGGCCCGCCAACAGAACAACAGTCAGCCGTGGCTGTCCAGCTTCCACTGTTCGGATAGAAGCCACTGGTCGGATAGAAAATACTCACCAAAACTATTTCTCACATCCCTTCCATTTTTATAGCGAACGAAGAACTGTAACCTTTGGGGATGAACGGGTACACATACGTAATAGTTAGATGGTTCACAGTCTAAATTGAGTTTGACTCGTTGATAAGTCAAATGCGACAAACCCTCTGTCTTAAACCGTTTTGTATCTTCCTAAAAATATGACTTTAGTACAAAATACAAAGTACTAAGTAGCTTGAATCTTAATTGATCATAACTTCATCAGATCGTATGGCTTCAATAACCCAAGCACTGCAAATTGGTACTGCTGCTTGATGCCAAATACTGGTAAAGCAACCAAAGCATATTTACATTTATGCTATTCTGGGAACCACATCTTCTTGCTACTGACCTGTGACAGTTTCAAGGATAAGGAATATCGGGGTTAACCGAAAAGGATTAGCAGAGGAACACGCCATGTAATATGAAAGGTACTCATGTTAACAATTCCCAATGCGGGCTTGGACTTTAAAATTCCCGAGCGTTAGCGTGATGTGTCCATCCGTCTGCTCTGAATTGCCACGCATGGAGGAAGATAAGTTACAGTCAAAGGGCGAGTGATCGTTTGCCTCTGTCATAACAGAAGGATGCGGCTCAGACTTCTGGCAGCAGTCAGCATCGAGACGTGGGACCTAAGGGCTCGGGTGAGGTGTTAGGGTTGAAGTCAATCTGTCATGCCGAGAGGTTCGTTGTGCCTGTAGACCTTCTGGTATCTCAGATACCTGTGTAGGACTCGCTCTGCTGCTGGCGCCAATGACTTGAGGACATTGAGAGGCACCAGACGACGCAAGCATCGTATCACACGAGCAATTTGTCCTATGACTATGCCGGTTCTATGCCCGCGCATCTTTGGTCTGCACAGATCCATTGATTGTCGCTGGATCTAGATTCAAGGCAATGCACAGGATTGTTGCTCCACCATAACTTGTACCTCAAGCACCAACTGACCCTTGTCACGACCTTCATGCATACTCTGAAGTAGATTGTAGCAAACTCATCTGCTTTACTTTAACAAGTGAGCACATGCCCGTTGGCTTTTGATCTTTCGATCTCAAAGGTTGTCCTTACTTTGTTCGTGACCCGACATCACCGTCGCTGGTCACTCACGAGTCGGTGGCGCTCCATACAGGGTCGGCTAAATCCATCAGGACCTCCACTCGGTGTGGTGTCTGTTGCAGACAATACAACGAAAGTTAGCCACAACAGCTGGTAGGTACACCTTTCATGAAACAAGACGTGGGCTCATCGTTCAGACTTAGGATTGTCAATAATTCAAACGAGTGCTGAACGAGTTATCTAGGATTGCAGATCTTAACTGCATAGGCTTCACGTTACACAGGAAACGGCGTGGTCAGTTTGCACAGTTGATGTTACTCCAGAACCTTGCTTAAAACCGTTAACATGCCGTTAACATACTTGTTATTCGCTAATTCGAGACAATGCAACCAAGCCAGCATTTCATTGATTTTTACTTTACCGTTGCGGTGCTACTCGGTTTAGCTCTACCGGCCAGAACTTCTCGGGACGTCTCGTACCTCGTACCTGCGCTGAAATCGAAACCTTTCGGCTTCAGTCAGCTCACGTTGTGACTGCTGTTGGGCCGAATTGTTATTTGTCTTTGCCACGGTATCTCGACCGCAAGACCCACGAATTCATTTTCGATGAATAAGGACATGAAGCGTATAAGTATATCTTCCACCTTTAAGATGAGCCATGGACTGGGCTCCTGAAGAGTTCTGCACTTGCTATGACTTGCGAAGTGCAACTAAGCAAGGATTCGAGTCGTCTTACCTCCTGCCATGGAATGGAGATAAAACGAGACGAAAACCACTTTCCCCCTTAACCACTGTCTTTCCCTCTGCAGTCACCTGAAGTGTACTCACATATCAGCCGTTTGTCGGGTTTGCTGTTTCTGCAACATCTGTGCAACGAAGCACAGCAAACGAGTCACCTTTCTTATCGACGCTGCAGTCAACTTCTGAAACAAGTAAACTGTCGATCGGTTTGCTGCTTCTGCAACACCTGTGCAAATGAAGCAAAGCAACCGAGTCATCATCCTAAGACACCTTTCCTATCGATGTCATCTTCTGAAACAATAAAGCTACTGGTCAGGTTTGCTGTACCTGCAGCACCTGTGTAACAAAGTCGAGCAATCGAGTCGTCATCACCCAATAAGACACCTTTCCTATCGACGTCACCTTCTGAAACATATAAGCTGTTAGTCGGGTTTGCTGCTGGCCTCTCTCTTGTAGTCGCCGGAGTGTTCGACTCTTTATACTCCGGTAGCAGTGTATTTGCGGTGGGGTTTGCCGCCTTACACGCTCAAATGGTTCCGTTTTTCACATACTAGGAACACCTCCTCAGCATGGATTGTCGCTTGTGCCAGTGACCTGCTGCTCCCGTCACTGCACGCCCAGCCCTTATGCCTAGAGCGTAAGCTGACCGAGAATTCCACCCATACCCGGCCGGTGTATGTTCGGTGGGCATGGACCCCCAGAGGACCACCCTCTGCCATGCTACTCACTCTGGTAGATAGGTGGGGCAGGCCCTATCACCAGTTCTCCTCAGCTCCTACGCGTCCGGGCAGCGACTGCCGTCCTGCTCCACGCGAGCAGACGGTCCGGTGACGTCCTCCTCCAAGAGACGTCTGTAGGCTGCACGTCCTACCTAGCACTCGCCCTTCTCTCAGGGACGTAGGCAGACGGCACGACCTACTCAATAAACGGAAACCACATTTCTGGCCCAGCACATCACCCGCCAAATAACAAATGCGTTTACCATTCTGTCAAATACTTCCCAACTGGACGGGAGTATCACCAATGTTGACTGGGATTATCTTCACAAATCACAACCCTCAACTGACTGATGAGATGACTGTCTGTTTGAACCGAAGCAAAGTTAAAAGTATATTGCCATCCAATGTTAACCATTAATGACTAATTAATACGAAATTTACCTATCAACTAGGGCAAAGTGTCTAACACAGAGAGAATTACTTCACCCGAATTCGACTTGCCGGAAACCTGCCACATGCTCTGAAATGTTGAAATTCCTGTGTAATAACTGAATAGATGTAAACGACGTTGTACTCTCACAAATAAATGACATCTCAAACTGTGAAACATTGAACCGATCTTATTCCACTGAACCTTGTCAACAACTCAGCCATGAAACAACTCCATGAAACAACAATTAAACCCAAACAACAAGTAAAACCACAAAAGAATAACTAATCATGTCAGCGAGGCATCAATCCACTCAGTCACAATGACACTTCGGAATGTGTCAGGGCCATGTAAGGTTATGTCAGCGGACCTCTGAACTCCGGAAACCTTGATCATGGGATACTTCCGCGATCTTGAAAACACTGATCAAATCGCATATCCGGTTTGGCGATCAGATGATCGAACTCGCGATGTTTTATCTGTGGATGGTTATTGCCCCGAACACGCTAGCTGACCACTGTGCTGCCATGCACCTGGTCACTGACGTCCTATGGCAACTACCCCAAAGTTCAATGACACCAAGTCGGTATCATCAGAACGTGTCATGACAACGAAGTCAGTGTTGGCTCCCTAAAGCCAAGTCAGTAACATCTGAGCATTAAAGGTCAAGACAAATCTCAATAACACCAAGTCGAAGTTATCAGATCAAACCTATGGACCAGCTCAAGAACACCAAGTCGGCATTATATGAGCACCTTATACGGGCAACTTCTTAATAAAGTTCAAGAATACCAAGTCCTGTATCATCCAAACATATTTTCAAGTCTAAGGAATCGAATGGATGTAATCAATGGCGCATATCAGGACATTCATTTATACCTCCTATGAAGTTAGGTAGCCATTTGCTGTCATGCCAACGATGCGAACGAATTAATTTACGAGGCATACGACCGAATAGCGTATCGCCAGAAGGCAAAGTAAGTAGACCCACAGAAGCAAGCAAGACTAACCTGAATCAAATGAACTTCAAGAGATGGCGACCTCGACGGTGCGTCCAATGTAGGTTGTCCATGCAGCATGCGGACCAACAATTGGCCTGACGAATCTAGTAGCGTCTGAAACTCGAGCCATTCACCATCAAATAAAGGCAACTGGAAATACACAAATTGTGACCAGTCAATTCACGAACACGGTGAAACGGAAAGTTTACGAACCACGAGCAGCAAGTTACACCAACGAAAACTTTACAAGCAAGAACATGCAATGAATCAACGGCATATACAATCAGGGTCCTGTTCGAGCAGAACAGAGTTTGAAATCCCGGACGAGCCCCCAATGTGATTTAAGTTGGTCCCTTTGTATAGCCTACATTGCATCCTGATTATTTATCTGTTGTCTAGGGGATTATATTCTTCAATCTTTTACTCTATGTGCTGTCTAGGGGTATTACTGATGAAAACGCGATCGATATGTGTGTGTTTCTGGTTCCTTTCCCTCCTTCGTTCCCAACACCATCCACCATACAGACGTGAACATGAGTTAAAAGTAGATATATTGAAATGAGCCAAAAGATGAGGTCGAAACCAAAATGTCAAAAGGAAGCGATCGAGTCATTAAACGAGACAAGGCCGAAAATCAGTCCTGCACGAATAGCCGTTGCATTAGCACAGGCTGATATCGAAGAAGACGGAAGAGTGTCGAAAGAAGACCGAAAATCAGTCCCACTCGAGTTGCTATCGCACTCGAGTGTGCCGATATTGGAGAGGCCGGAAGAGTGCCGAAAGAACAGCCTGCTGCCGCCAAGCCGAGCCAATCGGCTCCCTGGTCAGCGTCATGATGGCGGGCAGGCTGAAACACAAACAGCGCAGTGAGACCGGACAACGGCGGTCAACGGTCACCAAAAAAAAGGCCGAAAGAGATAACCGAATGGTTAGCCGAAAGACAAAACAAACAGTTCAACCATATACCGAATAGTTCGGCAAGTTAAACGGACTTCCTAGAAGACGTCACGTCACCTTGTCCCCACAGCACAGCTCCAAGAGAGCTGGCTGGGGCAGACCGTCCGGTCTGAGTCATTCTTACGTAGGTACTTACTTGTGCATGTTGAGTGGAGTGTTGCAGAGTGGGTGTTGTCGAACGTGGTGTGGACTGTGTGAGGAGTGTCTCGCTGCTCCGTCTCGCGCCCGTTTTATTCCTCGCTGGTCACACAAAAACAGGTAAAGCCACTGCAGTCGGTAGTTGCCCTGCAGCGTAGGTGCAGCTCAGCTCTTCTCTGCCGATCTGCAGACAGTCGCTAGCCCGGCCTTGCCGATTCCACTTTTTGTCCGGTGGTACCGGTGCTCGGTCTCCGGCGGCCGTCATCGTATGGTGGCCGGTGGGAGGCGGCGCTGGCCCGCCAACAGAACAACAGTCAGCCGTGGCTGTCCAGCTTCCACTGTTCGGATAGAAGCCACTGGTCGGATAGAAAATACTCACCAAAACTATTTCTCACAATCCCTCGGTCGGTTGACACAGTGGAAGCGTCGCCTCGCTAGGGTCTGACGCGTTTTACGCTGGGACTGGGTGATATGGGCGGGGGGAATCGTTGGTTTATGTAAAAGCTGCTCTTAGACCTGAATCTCCGTCGGGCGTCACTAGTGTTGCGTCGGTTTTTCGTCAGGGACTACTCCCCGTAACACTTTCTCACCTTGGCCTTATATTTCCCAAAGTCATGCAACATAAACAAGAAATCGCCACACTGGCATAAACCTTTCCCTAGAGCAGATTTTGGCTAGAAAATCTACTCTCTCCAGACCACACATTTCATCCACCTCAACCCGTTTATTTCCCTTTTATTTGAATAACTGAAAGGGAAAACCACAATTATACCCACAAAACAAATGACTACTAAATGTGATGAGCCAAACAGATACCTAATATTAACAAGTCATGGTTGACTCTATATGAATAGAGCTAAGTGATTGCGCTCTTTTATTTAGCGTACTACATAGTAGTAGTATATAGTAGCCCGCTGCCGTCCATGTGGTTTCCAAATAAGTGGATGTCTTTACTGGCCCAATTTTCATAGATATGGATTCTTTATTAAGTTAAGGACTAGCAGGGCTAGCTGTCGTGCCTGAGCTTGAACAAATGGGTGTTATCCCTTGTTCGATTTTCTTTCTTGATCTCCAGTTAGGCATTGTATAGCAAACAAATTGTGTTCAGTGAGCAGGTTTCTTCAGTATCAAACATTTGATCAGCTGATGGTCAGGACTAAGTTATTATATTTTCTCAGGGAGGAAGCGAGCAGCAGCAACCATCCATTGCTCCTGGACCGTGCTGCATCTGCAGATGCCACCAATCGACCTCGGCTGCTACATCAGGTGCAGCAGCTGCAGGTGCTGCTACTTCAGCTTCGGAGCATCATCAACCACAGCTGGTCACGTCTACGCCCAGGTTAGCGTTGTTATTTCAGTAAACAATAAATATTTTAGTTAAGTACTGTATGTGTGTGCGGTGTGCAAACTGTGCACTGTGCGCTGTGCGGCCAGCCACCTCCGACTCCCGAGTCCCACTTGAAGTTGCTCTAGCGAGCGCGCGTCGTCACTAGCTGGCCGTATACATCCTGAGGGACCCGCTCATGGCAGAGGCAGGGCGGTCTCTGTGCGAACGCGCCGTGACGCCTTGTCTGCCAGACGTGGTACCTGTTCAGGAGCCTGGGCTGGTGACCCACTCCAATCCGGAGCGGAGAATCGCTGGGAATTCGCACCCCACCCCCACCCACCCGGCGGCTCTGTAGTATCACGGGGCTGTTCGACGTGGGAAGGCGTGCCCTGATCGACGCCGGGACGTATTGCAGCACTTTTGTTCGCTTCAATTGCACTACAGTGTATCCGGTTTCTGTTTCAGGCAACCTGCTGGGCTACAGCAAGCTGACATGACTTGGACGCCGGCCATGGATACTGCCACGCCCAGCAGTACCACCACGTCACGGCAGGCTCAGTATTTTCACGTAGATCTACTCATGGAAGAGGAAGTCATGTAAGTCATTACTCGAATGCTAATCATAGTCTTTGTTTCTCTAATTTGTTTGTTTCATATTTCATATTGTGCCCAACCTATCATAGCCTTTGGAAAAAATGGTCACAATGTGGAATGGCTACTCCCGGGAGGGTACCTACTGAAAGTTTGGTGACGATCGGCGCAGCGGTTTTGGAGATATCGAAAAAAAAAAACTAAAGAGGGGAGCAAAAAAATCCCCACCCCCCACCGCCTGGACAGTTAAAGTGTTAGTGGAAAGTTAAAGTGGAAAGTGTCCTTGCGTTGTCTATTTGCCGTAAAATAAACAAAAAAACGTTTGCAGGGACGCCACACTTCCTGACGTCAACGAAACGGCTGATTGTGATGTCACTCTGGTGGAGCCGGAGGACGTAGCGGACGAGACGGAGGACGTGGAGCAGCAGCCAGAGCAGCAGGCCACCGATGACAGTCCCAGACAATGGTCGACGATGAGCGCCTTCATCTCCGAGCCAGAACTGATGACCCTGGTGCGCGATATCGTCGTCCAGTGTCGAAAATGCGGCACGGAATGTGCACCATTCGTGAAGAGGATTTCGCTCTCTTTCAGGATCTGCTGGGTGAGAACATCATATCTTACTGAGTGCAATTTCCAACCAGCAATGTACCCATTTGATTGAATTTGGTAGAGATGAAAACTTGCATGCTTTAACTCGGTTATTCCTTATTTCTTTTCAACTTTCTAGTGCATATTATTCGCTCGGCTCAGTATCACTAGGTAGCATATCCGAATATGCTAATTTTGGCTCCATAAAAGTCATCAATACTGATAATAACGCCTATGACAGTGCATGAATTGAAATGAAACATTTCGACGTTTTGCCTTGCCCAAAAATCTGAATTAGACCCTCCGCTGCGTTACGGATGAGGGGATGGGGCACGCTACTGCGGCAGACGGTAGGATCACAATATACGCCAGCGTGACCTGTTCACCCGATGGGAAAAATGACATTTTTCCGTGTTTTTCTTTCACAGGTTTGCCAAATCTGCGGCTCTGAGGCAAGGTCATGGTGGTCGACAGAACGGACTGGCCAGGTTCATTCGTTGGATACGGTGTGGGCCACAGCCATCGTTGCAAGTGGAAACCACTACGATAAGGTCGAGAAGCTTCTGAAGTACGCCAACGTAGGCGGGCTGAGCAAGTCCGCCTTCCAACGCATCTCGAGAACCGTTCTTCAGCCTGTGGTGCAGGAGGCCTTCAAGGACGTGCTGGAAGCCAACCGTCAAGCGGCCCTGGACTCGTCACCAGACGGACTGGTGTTGTCAGGTATGTGATATGTGTAATATTTTGATGCAACTTTCGTTATGCGTTGAACTGTTGAAAATAAAGATAAATTTGCTTGGTCAGTAGCTTAAAGGGACTATCCCATCTTAACATTAGATTGAAGTTGAGATAGCCAAGTTGAGGCCAGAGTCTCAGAATTATCCTCTAGCAAAGTCTAAGGAGCCTCATTTGCGTGATCGAAAGAATATCTGTATTCAAAGTAGTCAATTGTAAATCATAAGGGTCATAGTACATTTGCATAGGACCTTACGTTTTGTGACGTCACCGGATTTCCGTGCTATTGCAGTTCCCCTGCTGACACACCTATCCTTTTGCTGCCTTAGGCGACTGTCAAAACGACAGCCCGGGATTCAGTGCCGCTTACGGGACTTACACCGTGATGGATCACACAACTGGACACATCCTAGCGCAGGTCAGGTTTCTTCGTTTATAATACGCCATCATCAAACACTTTTGGGTATTTCTATGTCATATACTTGTTTCTTTATCTTTGATACTGTAGGAGGTAGGTGGTTTCTCGCACAACTTTTTTTGTGTGAAAGTAATCCAGCATTGCTATTGATATTTTGACTCCATAAAAAGCGCATAACACAGAATGACATGTTGCTCATCTGTCCCTTGCAGGCTACACTCTGCCGCCAGGAGGTGGGACTAAGCAGTCCCAGACTGGAACCGGAGGGCGCCCGGAGGTGTCTGGAGCAGCTTGCTGACCTTCCAGTGAAGGAGTTTGTCTCAGACCAACATGCTGGGGTGAAGAAGGTAGTCGGTAAGTCATAGTATTTTCTTAAAGAGATAGTCCCACCTGGGTAAATGCCGGCGAAGCGAACATACCGTAACTGTGCCCAAGATGCTTAATACGTTCTACGGTACACATTTGCAACTTTTTGCCTAAGCCAGTTGCCAGTTGCCGTGCCTAAGCCAGTTGAAAGTACCCTCTCACCCTTCCGCACGTGCAGGGCTCACTCTATCGCTCGCTCGTTCTTCGCCCAAAAGGCGTTTTACGGGTAAGTATTTCCATTCAAATTCATTATCATTAAACATGTACATATGTGTCATTTTAGGGAGAGCTCGCCCGGGCATACAATATTCGTATGACGTTTGGCATGCGGCAAAGAACGTCGCAAAGAAAGTTCGCCAGCAAGCCAGCGTCCCGAAAAACCGGGCTTTGCTGCCGTGGGTCCCTCAAGTGAAGAATCACTTCTGGTGGTGCTGCCAGATGAGTGAGGGATCACCGGCAAAGTTTCACGTTAGTTTTGTTCTCTTCCAATCCAGGTCCAAGAAGAAGTGTTGCAATTGTATACTCTCATGAACCTAGCATCACGGTAACGTAAGATAATAGGTTTGGGTTTAGGTTAATATGGACTGGGCGAGTGCTTTAAAATTTTCAAACTGATTCTACAGGCATACACTTATACTATTTTAACCCAAACTTTTAGTTTGTTTGAGATATGTTCGATTGCATCTATTGGTTTAACTATGTATTTGATTGCAGAAATTGTGGGTGATGATCAACAATCATGTGGTGAATGTCCATGCGGTGCCATCGGGTCTGAACCGATGCCACCACGATCCGCTACCTGACACCGAACGCCATGACCCGCCCTGGCTGGAGCCGGATTCATCAGCTCACCGCGCTCTCCGGGATATCGTCTCCAGCAGACGCGTCTTGGACCTCGCGGACTACGTCTGCACATTCCGGTACGTATTAATGTGTAGTTATTTATACATGTCACGCTATCATAATTCAGACGCGTAGCTTGCATATTCATTGGACACTTCTCATAGGCAAGCAGCGGGAACGGGGACTTTGACAGGGACAGGTGTCCTCCGCTGACTTTGCTGCTGCTCACTTCAATTAGGGGTCAGAACACGTCCTACGGCCTCTTAATCGTGACCTGTGTGATCTGTGTGACTCGAGAAGTGATTTCCTGCGGAGATTGTTATTAACGAAATGTTTTTTTCCCCGATGTCAGGCACACTGGGTCACTGGAGGTTTTCCACGCGGCGACGCTAAAGTACACGCCGAAACTGGTGTACTTTGCGTAAGTAGCAAGTTATTGATGTGCACGGGGGAAACGTATTACGATTAATTCACCCTCTTTTTCAATCCACACATTCAACCCACGTTTTCCATTTACCTTAATCGTTGTTCCGCAACTTTAGACGACCAATGTTCTAAATTTGGGCTACCATCTCTGTTGACCGGGGGCCGCAAGGTACAGTTCAATTAAACCCCATGTTAGAAGTGAACTATTTCCTTTAATCCAAAGTAAGTCCACGTGAGAGCCTCACATTGCCACCTCTCTTTCGCTCGCTCGTTCATTGCCATAAAAAGCGTACTGGTACTAACCTTTACTCTGTTACCTAATTCAAGGCTCTTAGAGAAAGCACAATATTTAGGCTAATCTTTTGTTTCTTTCCAGCCCACCTACGTACACCATGCGTAAGCAGCTGGCTGTGCTGGACTACTCAGCCAACAAGGACCGTGACTTCGCAAGAGATGCGACAGGAAATCCAAAGTGAGACATTTTTTCTTTGCACAGACTCGCGTTCTAAAATCCAGTGACTTTTCACGAACATCTTTCCGCGCTCGGCGCTCGCTCTTAACCCTATTAGTGGCAGGGGGGGTTGTTTTTATCCACCCCTCAGGTTTTTCTGGAATATCTCCGAAACCGCTGAAGCTACGATGCTGAAATTTTCTGACTTTTCCTAAAACTAAATTGGGCACATTCCCTGAAAATTTCAAGTTCATAACTTTACCAGGGGCGGCTCCAGAGCACTGGGAATTGGGGGGTCCTATTCGTGAAGCGAGTCATTTGGGCGAAGATCACGATGCTGCACCAGTTTTACGAACAGTGAATGAAAGGTATCATGTGATAACATATACAGTTATTGTGCATCCTCTTTTGACACGTTTTTGCTATAATAGGCGGATCCAGGCGTCCAAAAAGGGGGGTTATGTTTTACCTCCCAACATAGGTGCCCTGACACCGCCAGGGCATATTTTAAGGATTTTTTACTGCGTCCCAAAGGTGGCATAGGGCACATGCTTCGATCGGAAAGGGCACATACCTTATCCACCTGCATCTCTGCATCTGCTTACTACCTATATCGACCAGTTACTGCAGCCGTTTTGGAGCGGCTCACGGCCGATAGCACACCGGGCGTGCGCTAGCCGCCGGCGCTAAGCGCTAACCAGTAACCACTGAGTGCGCGTGGCCGACTGCCGCCCCGATGGCGCTGGCCCCCGACACCGGCGCGGCGCTGCTGACCCATGGAGGGGGGAGGGGGGCTGATAATTAGTTGAGCCGGAATTGGGATAGAAGCCGGTATGGAATTGGGATAGAAGCTCAGCGAGACTAAGGGATTGTGTGGTGCCTTCGGTACGCCCCTCAAAATCACCCGCGTAGGGCCCTCAGGGCCGCCGGTTATGAAGCCTTTGGAGGCACTGGTGTGGGCCCTCACAGGTACCGGTGTGATGCTCTCAGAGGCATTGGTGCGGGCCCCCAGAGGTGCCGCTGTGGGCCCTCAGAGGCGCCGGTGAGGGTCCTGGACCACAGTTGCCGTTGTGGGCCCTCAGAGACACTGCAGTGTGGGGTTGTCACAGTCCGGTGTGGGACCCTTAGAGCTGCTGGCTCGAACCCTTTACAGGCCGACAGGGGCTCTCAGAGACCGACAAGGGGCTCTCAAGAAGTCTGCGGTGCCTTCGGGAGCCCTGTGGAGTCCTTAGAGACCAGCAAGGTACACTCAGACGCCAGTGGGGCCCTCAGAGTCGTCGGTGTGGGGCCCTCGAAAGTCACCGGTGAGTGGCCGTCCGATGCGGCTCCGGCGTTGAGCCCCCAGAGCCGCCGATATATGGTCTTAAGAAGCACTGGTTTCGGGACCTCATTCAGGGGTGCCGGTTGCACTCAGAGGTGGCAGTGTTGGGCCCTCAGCTAGGCACCGGTGTGGGGCATTCACAGCCGCCGGTGAGGGCCCTCGCAGGCGCCGTTGTGGGGGCCTTCAACCACTGGTTTAGGGGGTCATCGCAGGCGTGTGTGGAACCCTTAGAGCTGCTGGTCCCTGTAGGCCGGTAAGGGCCCTCAGAGGCCGGCAAGTAGCCCTCAGAGGTCGCCAATAGGCCCTGAGAAGCCGGCAAAGGGCACTCAAAGGCCGACAAGGGACACTAAAAAGCCGGTGTGGGGCTCTTATGGAGTCTGTTGCATAGTAAAAGACCGAGGCATGCTAATTATTATTGCTTGCACTTTTCCGCTGAAACCGTGACATTTCAGTGTGGGACGCAGTGGTCCAAATTTCGCGAGTGCTACGTCCCAAAGGCAGGGGGCTGCGTCCCAAAATGGGACGCAGTCAGTATGTTAAAATATGCCCTGGACACCGCCTATGCATTACCAATACAATTTTAGTCGTTCTCTCATAAGAAAATTATAACATAACAAGACCATTACCACCCTTTTTAGAAACAGTACCAACAAAAACCTTATTTACTATACTTTTTGTGTACCCCCAATCTCAATGATCTGTATCCGCCTATGATTTTTGAAAATGCATATTTTAGGATCCATGTGAATTCCTGGTTCATTCTCTATCGATCGGCAAAAGTTGCGTTAAGATTGGTTCAGAAACCTGGCCGTGATAAACAGTCTAAAATGTATCTGCAATTTGCCCGTTTTTACCCCCCTCTACCCCCCCCCCTATTGACATTTTTTAATTTTTATTTTTTTAGAAATGTAGATCACGTTGAGCGAAATCGAATGCCGTTTGAATTTTGAAAATCGGCCCGTTAGATCTCGAGATATCAAGGGGGGGTCGTAAACAGCCCCCCCCCCTGCCACTAATAGGGGGTAGCCAGGAGCCTGCCACTAATAGGGTTAAGAAGGTGCATATGTAATATGTGCTGCCAATTTCACCAATGTTCAATGGCATGGAGTTGTCATGAATAAGTATTAGATAAATTGAGTTGCTTGTCACATTTACCTAATATAAAGGTGAAAAATGTTACATTATTTTGCGTATTCTCATCCCAGGACTGTGATGGTGTACAGTCGTGTCAGCGACGCTTTCCACATCCGGCCGATCAAGGAGCAGAAGTCCGACCGTCACGTGCGGCCGCTCCTGGAGGCGGCAGTCCGGCGACGGAGAGACGTGCTGATGACCAGTGGCGTGATGAGCCCGGGCGACCCTCGGCGGAGGCACCCGTACGTCCACCGAGGACCCCGCGTGGACGAGGAGAAGGGAGCTCTACTGGCCGCATGGGCTTCCCGGAGTAGGTTCAGCGGTAAGTGGAAAATAACTTTTACATTATTTTCTTTTACAGGCTATTGAAAGACTTCAGTAATGTACACTTTAATGTCATTTTCACTAGTATTAATTGCAGTGTTCAATCTTATTTGAAAACCAGTATAGCGCCGTGTTCGGCGATAAACGAACGAGCACCAAAAACAGGTGTGCACGTACACATGGGCGTACCCAACCACCAAATTTGAACATTCGGTGGAGCCGTTCCGGAGATACAGAGAAGGATTGCGCACGTGCCCACGTGCAACTGATGCACTCACACCTGGCTTGTCTAATGGGTAATGTAGCTAATAGCCTAATAAGCTTCTACCCACTCACGAAATTTGAACGGAATCGGTCAAGCCATTCTTGAGAAACAGATGGGGTGCGCACGCGCTGGTTTCTCCCATCCGTTACTATTCAAAAGGTTGTAACAAATAAGCGCTACCAACACTAAATTTGAACAGAATTGCCCAGCCGTTTCCGAATAAGAGCATGCGAACATTTGTGACACCCCCTTGCTCAGCACGCGCCACTTGCTACAGCAATGACAGTGATACACATTTAGACAGCAATAGTCCAATTCACGGCAGAAGAAATGGGGTTACCCAGCGTCGAAAACCGCTTGTCGATTGGATGACCCGTTCCAAAAATAAAAATAAAAATAAACTTCTCAAGAGCGTGACCACATCCGGTCGGCCGCAGGGGCGGAGCTTCCTATACAGTCGGTGGGGCGGCTGCCCCACCAACGTGGTATTTCGCCCCACCAATAAGCGTTTTGCCCCATCATCTTTAGCTGATTTCTAAGACTTTGTTGCTTTCCAAATTAATCTTGTTCGCATTGAAGAGTTTGGAATGTCTGTTTAATGCAAAAACATTATATCTGTAATGATAGGAATTGATTCAGTGTGACATTTTATTCAACTTCATAATCGGATACTGTGAGTTTGACGACTTGTTGCCCCACCAACTTCCCTGGAAAAGCTCCATCCATGGTCGGCCGCTCATACTGACTTTTCCCCATATACTCGTAAGAACTCGCTACGCACTCGCGCTCACTCGTAATAGGTACAAGCCACACGTCTTAATTGCCATGCACTTTTTATCTATTCAAGGATCTTCCACCATCGTGGCCGAGGCAACAACAACCGACGCGGCCACCGACGCCGCCATCGACGCGGCCACCGACGCCGCCATCGACGCGGCCACCGACGCTGCCATCGACGCGGCCATCGCCATCGACGCGGCCATCGTCGCCGACGCGGCAACCGATGCCGACGCGGCAACCGATGCTGATGCGGCAATCGACGCGGCTATCGACGCGGCAATCGACGCAGTCACCGACGCAGCTGAGACGGCAGGCGCGGGTCCACGGACGACGAGGACTGCCCGTAAGCGGAGGGGACCTCAGCGCTACAGTCCTTGAGCGAGCCGGTGCGGGTCCCAGCATAACGACTTGTCTGATTTGGTGGTTGATTTATTGGTTGATTGATAGTATATTGTTATGGATGCCGGATTGCTATTGTTAGGTCGTGCGAGTGTTGATGTTATTACCATAGAATTGGAGTAGACAATTGTCACTCCAATTCAGAGTTGGACGGTCGGTTGTTAAATTGATCTCGTGATGGCAGTGCTGTGCTGGAGCCGGACTCGGTACGACGTTGAGTGGTAGTGACAGCACGCTGTGAGTGCGCGGAAGATATCGGATACACTCCGGTGGGGAGATACCCGACCGGCGTACCGGACCGTGTCCCTCGTTCCGAAGTTGCACTTTCCACCGAGGACTCCGCGTATGTGACTGGCGCGCGATAACTCCTGTGACGTCATCGGCAGTATTGTCTGGCTTAGTGTGTTGAAAGTTGTGGGAAATTGCAACGATATACAAAACATCGTTATATTTACGGCCTTGTACAATTAAATCAAACGAGTTATCCGGTCCTGGAGCGTCTGCGCGGCTCCCCCACTGGCGACATCCGCTGCCAGCGCGCGGGCGGCATGCCCCTGCTCACAGGATGTCCTCGAGCTGCTTGAATCCGACGTAGCGGCCGTGCAGGTCCGGCCACTTGGTTCGGATGGCCGTCACCACGCAGGCCGGAACGACACGGCGCTGCCCCGTGCCGAGTCGGCCCCACCTGAGAGTAAACGCAAATCGCCACTTAGGGAGCACATTGTAAGCAGTAACGTATCGTTAAGCGGCGGGCACCGGTGTTTACAATGGTTAAGCAAGTTTGGTAACGTAACAGCGATACACCTGTCAGATGATATATCGAACCACCTTTTCGACCCCTTTAGAAACAGCAACACCAAAGAACTCTACCAAGCGTGGAGATAGTAACAATTGTGCTCTATTTTAATTGCTGTACACCAGTATACGGATCGAGGCCAAGGTTATGTTTTTTTTTCTAATTCCAGTGACTGAGGTCTGCAAGGGAATGGTATGCGTTACCGCCACATGGTGAACTGTCTGTACGCCTGATGGCGGCGGGCCCGATTCAGCGCCCCAGGCTCGGGGTCCTCCTCCACACGTCTGATGGGAATGCCCCTCGTCTCAGAATGATAAATCATCGCCGCGGCAACGGTAGCCTCTGTGAGAGCCACCAGTTTTACTTGCTGAAATGAAGAAAGTTTGGTTAAATGGATCATATAAATATTGTTTCCGAAACGGTTGTCTGGTGTCGGGCATCGGCTACCCTACCTGCATCCTTCTAAAAAAAAAATGTTAGACAAAATGGTAAATATTTGTGTTTTGGGGCACCGCAAAGGCAACAGATCGAAAAAATGCCGTTCATGCACGTAACATGCACAAAAAATTACAGCGGTTTTCACACAAATTGCAATGCACTACTGGTATGCTGACGATATTAAAACTGATGTGCCTAACTCACTGGATCTTCCGTGAGGCAGCGTTCGTCACCACAGCAGCGCCGCTCTTCTGCAGTGGGCATGTCGGCACACCTGTAATGGTACATCAGTCATCAATTATAAGTATGGTTATAATTTTTCCAATTTTTTTTTACTGTAATTTTGCGCTCATTACACATTATTTTCTTTTTGGCGAACGTTAACAGTCAACATTGCATGAACATTTGCACTACATTGCCTTGTTTCAGATTTCAGAACCAGTTGCCTTAATTCATTCTCCCAAATAATGAATCGGTTGCACAGCATCAAGTTACAAGGTAACATAACTTCCGCAGATGCACCAAGCGAGGGCTGTCTCTGGCTGTCGGCCTGTCGGTGGATCGGCTGGAGTTTCGCCCTGTAGGCCCGCCTCCACCTGGGCTGCCAAGGACGGGTACTGTTGGAGGATGCTCCGAAGGGTATCTTCTACCCTGCCCTCCTCTGTCAGCCTCTGGAGGATCCTCTGTTGGAAAGGAAAATGTGATTATAGCCATACAATTAACTGAGGACCAGATTCCATGTCTGTAAAGTAGTGAAACGAAAGGAAACAAGTAAAAGATATTACCTCCCCCGCTCAACAACTTTTTTAACGTTGAAATCGTCCTTGTCCCAACTGGTTTCCCCCTCCCCCCAATGGCTGGCTGGATCCGCCATTGCATATGGCATAACTTACCAAATTAAGTTGCATATGGCATACCGATGTTTAACATACGAGCTTACAATACACATGTATGTACCTGAAGTGAAGCATATATTGCAGACGACTTGAAGAAGCAGTTCAACACAAAACCATTGGTTAAGTTATCCAATCAATAATACAGGACATCAAAGCCAATGGCCATGCGTAAAAACTTGTAAGCATGTTCTGGTACCCTACACAATAGTTTGAAACAAGCTGATGCAAGGAAGAAAAGCAGGGCCCTGTTTGGTCGCTGCTGCCAAAACAGCTTCCCTAACAGCCCACTAGTAGGTGGCTACTGTGTTAAAGGAATAGGACTAAGAAAGGGCTGTGCTGTTGACCAATGAGAGACTGAGAAACGCACGCAGGTTTGCTGACGTACGTTGACGTTGCTGCTAACGTCTGCACAGGTCTAAGAAATGAAAGAAAGAGCATGAAAGAAATAAACATCAACTAGCACAAGCATCTATTTTGTCCTGTCTGGGCAGACACGTAAAAAAGGATGACAGGCAATATAATCTAAGAAAGGAAACAGAGACATGGACTAGCATTACAGCATCTGGCATTTGCATATCTGCAAGTAGTCTGTCAATTACTGTCATCCTGCCGGTTGCATCCTCTTCAGCGGCAGCCAAGGCTTCCCTGTAGAATGATATGGAAAGACACAATTCTACAAGTTGTTTTTTTCTGACAAGTTCTTTGTAACACTTTAACAAGCAAGCATTATATTATACCTTGACAATTGTTCAATGCTCATTATGAAGATCATGCAGGAACATTTGATAATTAGTCACCCTGCGCTATTTCATTGATAGTGATGTGAAAGACATTATCAAAGTATATATTTCAAATTACTTGAGATCTTATAATTTTAACTTTTTTTGTGTTGAAAATGGACTTTAGAATCAAAATAGGCAAATGAATTATCAGTATCCGGGAAGATGCAATGCTGAAAGCTCCATATTACATTCTAATTTATCTCTTAAGCTTTGTGATATCAAACCTCTCAGAAATAACAACACATCCTATCCTTTGATGCCACTTACCGGCAGCTTTGTTCACTACCAAACAGCCGCCTTTGTGCCTTTGTTTTTCTTGCTTTGGGCATGTCAGTGGCATAGAAATAAAGGTCAGTGGTAACTGAAAAAAACATGGATATGATGATCAATAGTTACACAGCAGTTAGAATTTGATAGTATCGGCAACAGTAAATATTCAACTATATAGGTCAGTGTAATGCCGCAGGCAGCTCCATGGGTATATGTAAGCCTGGCGTCCCAGGAAGATGCCAGATTGGGACAACTGAACTAGTACCGTTGTAGGTTTGTAGGTTTGTAGAGTAGGTAGGTTCTAGGTTTGTAGGTTGTAGGTAATATTAGGTCAGGTTAGGTCAGATTTGTATTGGTCTATGTATCTCTGTCGTCCCAATCTGGCATCTTCCTGGGACGCCAGTCTTACTTATACCCATATATGATAAGCAGGGGTAAAGGAAATCTTTTTGAAATAAATATTCTTGAACAAAATTATATGCATGAGAAGAAGATGACCTTCTTTGGAGGAACAAAATAGTTACACAATCTGGAAAAATGTAACCAAACAGCCACTTATGCCGCAAAATGAGAATCAAGCCAATCACTGAGGACAAACAATTTCAAACCACCAAAACTATATTCTTGCTATTCACCAATAATCCTAAAATAGCGTTCCATGGCCATTATATGCATCTTTCACCCTTACCTCCGACAGATAACTAGCGCCACGGGCAGACACACGGGGAGACGGTTTACAACCGCTACAGTCCGACGAGTCTATCCTCCTCAAGGCTGATTGGCTTGAGTGTGACGTCATTGCTATGACATCATACAGTAGCTGCGGTAGAGAGTATAAACATAGTACCAATATGCTAAATAGTTTGAAATACTTTTTTGCGAATTATGCACTTCTGGCACCGGTTTTGAAAAGAAAATGGAAAATAATAATGTCAAAATAAAAACCAACGATATCTTCATATTTCAAGAAGGTGGCACTTTTCCTTTAAAGCAAATTTTACTGTTCCTCTAATGTGTGATCCAATAGCAAACCGTTCCAACTAGGAGCAAATAAGTTGCGCACCTGGGACGGTTCGAACCGGGCTTCTCCAACCGGTCACCCTACGACGCTATTGCGTGCATCCACTGAGCTACGGAGACCACCGACTACCCGCCGCGGTCAAACGCGATCAAATGTCACAAAACTGTCATTGGCGGTCAGAGGGTGAATGCCATTTTGTTTTGTGCTGACGGGGACCATTCCCGGTAGCTCAGTGGATGAACGCTCGTATCGTGAGCTGACCGGTGGGGGAAGCCCGGTTCGAAGTTCGAACCCTCCTGAGTGTCCGACTTTTTGGCTCCTGGTTGGAACGGTTTGCTATTGGTGGCTGCGACCTCATATAAGAGGAACAGTAATAATCGCTTTAAATTGGGGCGTTAGCTGCCGCACTATACCCATACCCCTAGTTCCCACGTCTCTAGACGATTGCCGTGCGAAACAATAGACACCAATCTGCTCAATCAAGGCCTCAATACTAACATGTTATGCAAAATATAGCTCCGCACCTCGATGCACGGGTGACAAGTTCTATCGGCTGTCCCATTGCCACGCTTAAGTGCTTCGTAATACGCATGGCAAGTAAATGATAGGCGCTGTCTTGGGCATAGGGCATTTTAACAAATGTTTTAGCGCAGTTGATGGGTAGAATAATTGGCAAATGGAGACGCGAAAGTTAACTACGCTCGCCCAGCCGCGCGATGGTCCATGCTTCCACCCCGCCTCACTCCCCAGCCCTCGCCAGCCGCCGCGCCGCGCCGCGCCGACCCGAGCCATGCCTCCGGGCTCGGCCCTCACCGCTGCGCTGACGTCACAGGCGGCCCACATCACCTTCCAGCCACCGACCCAGACCGGTGCCATACGGTGTGGGTAGGCTGTGCCGCTTGACAAGTAAGTGAAGCGGCACAGTCTACCGTTACCAGGCGGCTGCTGCCAATGCTGAGCCATAGGCGCCCGGTGGATAAAGAGTTGTGGAACATCAATCTGCCCCCGAGTGTACCATGTTACGAAGGCACCAAAACTACTTCGTTTATGTTCAAATGGTTGCTTAATTCGAATTCAGCTCCAAAAACCAGCCTAGAAACATGCAAAGCTCGAAAAAGTGAACCGAGGTCACAAAAGGTCAATGACCTGACCTGACCTTCAGGTGACCTTGACATCCACCCTAATTCACGGGAGCAACATCAAATCACATGTCTGAACGTTTGAAACCACGAAAAGCTTGCAAACGCGCCGCTAATGCGAGCCGACATACGCCAAATCGCGATTCCGGCCAAACATGATCTTGGAAAGTAGGCCACAGGTCAAAGGTCATTTGGGTCAGGGTCATGAAATTTTTAGGGTAGGTGTAAAATTGATCAATGCGAGGGAACTGAAAGTTTCGTCGCGATCGGCCGCTTTGCGAAAAACCTTAGGGGGTTGCATCACCCCCTGTCACAACCCCGAAGTCAACCGGTGACCAGGTTGACCTGTGACCAGGTCTCAGGCCAACCGGTGACCTCCGAGATTAGGTCAAGTGGCCCAAGATATGGGTGCGGTTTTTGATAAATAACTGCTGATTACCTATTTAGGGACATATTTGTGTTATGAGGTTATCGGTGGAGCCAACAAATAACTAAATGCACTTACTTTTATTTTATAAAAGTAAGTGCATTTAGTTATAAAAGAATAAAAGTAAGTGCATTTAGTTATTTGTTGGCTCCACCGATAATTTGATAAATAACTTCGCAAAAAAACGGTCACAGCGCCACAATTTTGGCATAATCGTGTTCACCTCGCTGAGGCGCGTCGAATGGTATACTTTTTGTTCGGGTGAGGTCAACTTGAGGTGTTGACCTCGGGCCAAGGTCAGGTCAGAGACCCCAGGTCACAAAGCTGGCCAAATGAGGTCATGTCGCATATCATTAGATTCGGCAGGTCTTCCCGAGTCCATTGGTGGCTTTCGCGACTCGCTAGCTCAATTTGGTCGGGAGTTATTAACGAAAAAGCTCTCATGACACTAGTGACTAGTGCAAAAGTGAAGCATCGGACCTTGCAAGGAGTGCATGAAATCACAATTCCTTGTGCTTGATATAGCTTTAGATCATTCCCGTCGCCAAAATAACATTTTCTATATTCCCCCATTGACTTACCTATTTATACCGCCTAATATACCTAATGGTGAGGTCACGTGACCGACCTGATCTCATGCGACCTTTAGGAAAAATTCCAGATATACAAGTTGTGATATATCTCCATGGAGGATACTACGTTCTGTAAGCTTCATCTCCCTGTGAACGTTCCATAATCTTCAAAAATGTTTTTTTAGACTTTGAACAGAAGACAAGTATAGCGCGATTCGATTCGTTATGGAGAACCTGCATCTGATAAATGCCTTTTTTTGGACTAAGAACCAAAATAACACAAAATTTGACCTCATGACTTTACCTTGACCTGACCTATACGTACCTACTTTTGACCGCGGATCGTAGAGCGCTTGATTTTCATGCTGCGATAGAGGACGCGTCCTTCATGAATGATAAGCCCACCCCGGGCGGGGAGAGGAAGGGGTTTGCCGTCTCTGACATGTTGTGACTTCTCGAATGGTTTTAGAGATAAATGCGTTAGGTATCTACCTTCCTTGATTTCAGCCGGACCTTTTCGCACCTACCACATAGCATATATCCTACCCATGCAGTGTCAGGCTATCTATAGACCAACAAGATTCTGACACAAAGGAAAATGTTTTTTTTTATGTGTTAGGCCATTCCAACTTCCAGCCTCGCCGACTATTGTATTGTGCCACAGTGGCAGAAACCGTCCCCAGCAGTACAGGCCAGTGTAAGCGGTCACAGCGGATGCTGTCTATGTTGCAATTGGATCTGTCCCCGTCAGTTGCCTGGGTCGGATGACTAGCAGCCCACAAAAAGGGAGGTTTGATCCAGGATGAGGATGGGCGGTCCTGGTTCTGCCGAAGACGGAGGAAGATAAACGAGAAAGAGGTCATCGTCCACCGGTCTCTAGGGATAAGGTTCGTGACATTTTTGGGAAATTGTTTGAATCCTTTGATGCTTTCTACATTTTTTTCTTTTGCAAACCGCTTACGAAAATGGGGTTCCAAATCGAATGGTTCCATCCAATCATCACAGCTGCTAGTGGCGGCTATAAGTGAGAGTTAAGGGATTACAACTGGGGCATTCCACGTCAAATCGAACAAAAATCGGCTGTTTTGCACCTTACCATCAGCGATTTCATTATAAATTTGTGAGCGAGTTCCTGTGTCGCCCCGAACATTACATTGATGTTTTTTGAACATTCTGACCACAGGTCTTCTAAATATAGGGCATCGAATTTTTACAAAATGCTGCATCTTTATATTTTTGAACGACCATAACTTTGGTTGTACTTGTTTGATTTGAATGAAATAAACCGTACTGTTTAGGTAATTTCTTAAGCATTTGTTTAGAATTGCACCTACTTAAATATATGACCTTGAAATTTGCTTAACTCTGTTCTTAAGCACAAAAATTGAAATAGCAAAAAACACGTCACCTTCGATTTGGCTAATTTTCATATATTTTATTGCCTACCATATTCTTAACAGCCTGTGAGAAAATTAGAGTGGGCCATTCATAAGCTTTGAAGAAAATGGCACATATGCAAACGTATTTTAGCACGCGCAGTGGAGGGGGAAGAGTGAATTTCGCCCCACCCCTCCTGTTTTTCGCCAATATCTCATAGTATTAATGCGAAATTAATTATAGCTTCCTGTCCAAAATTGAATTGCACATCTCATCGTGCAAGCAAGAAGAAAATCGGTTCACAACTGGTCTAGTAATAGCGGTGTAAAGTGAACATCCTGTCGCCGCGGCGACGCGGCGACTCGGCAGCCGGCGCCGACCGCTAGCCGCCGCCTGAATTGTAGACTGTGCCGGGACGGAACGGAACGGTTCCGTCTTTACATCGCGCTCCTTACCGCTGATTACGTTCGATTCGCGTCAAATTTTGTGAGAAGACTAAGAAATGTACAGGCAATCTTATGGTGTAAGAATTTTGAAAATCTATTGGTAAA